TCTATTAATATGAGAAAAATAAAAATAAAAGTAAGAGGCCACAATAAAACAAAATTAAAAGACTATGAGAACCAAATCAAGATAAAACCCATGAAAAATAAAACATTTTGTTTAATCAATTTTTTTTTTTATCAGCTCGTTCTTAGATTGTTAAAAGAAAGTAGATGGTGTTGATGGGAAAAAAAATTTAAAAAAACTTTTGTCAGCTCTACTATTAAAAAATTATCTTTTAAGAACTAAATTATATATATGCAGCGGACACATTATTATTTAGAAATATTTTTTAAAGTGTTTTTCATTCAAAAATATATTAAAATAATATTTTTTATTTTAAAAAAACTATTTTTACATCAAGACATCAATCTAAGAACACCAAAAAAATATTAATTTAAAACAAATAAAAAAATTTAATTTTTTTTAAATGCTTTTAAAATACAAAAATAAACAAGACCAATTAAATTATAGGAGAGGCCACTAGAAATAAACTATATGTCGGCTTGTCTTCAGCTGTAAACTATGAAATGTATTCTATTTTTTTTTAAATGATAAATTATATTTAAGTGCTGTGAATGTGTGTTTTATTTTTTTAAAAAAATTTATAATTCAGGTTATAGATCCAATTGAGTCAAATGTATTAGTTGTATTTTAATGAAGTAAAAAAATAGGGCAATGACGCCTGTTTGTTTCTGCGTTTCAAAATTGCTTTTGAAAAAAATTATTTTTTATATTTTTTAGTAACTTCAAATTAATATATTTTTAGTGTTTTCAAATCATTTTGATGTGCTGATGTTAAAAATAATTTTTTTAAAATAAAAAAATTTCATTGGCACGAAAAGTTATTTGAAAAGAAACTGCAAGAACACTTCCAAACAAGTAATGGATCAAAAGTTTTTTTAAAAATGATCAAGATAATTTGAAGAAAAACAATACTATTTAATTTTCTGCTAATGAAATATGGGAGGATAAAATTAGATAAAAAAAAAGGGTAAAAAAATTAACTCGAGTAAACACGAGTTGGTATGACTAATATGAACTTAGGTAATAAGGAATGAGCTTGGGTTAACTAATGAAACTCACGACCCAAGTCAGGATAATCCAATATAAAATAAATTAAAGAAAACTACAAAGTTTATTTTAAAAAAAAAATAAATCAATGTTGAAAGATGAAATGAAAAGAGAAAAGAAGTTAAAAAAGATATCGATCCATATATATTAACCATTTAAACTTGTGATCTGAGTTATTAGATCAGAATACATAAATAAATAAAAACTATGAAGCCTAATCCCTAACCAATTAAATATTGAAAGATAAAATTAAAAAAATAAATAAATTATATAAAATAATAAAAAAATAATAATAATTAAAAGAATGAGGATAAAAATTGAAATAAAAGAAATGAGATGATAAAGAAAAAAAGAAAAATTACCTTAACAAAAGAACAAAAAAATTAAAAAAACGAGGACCAAATTAGAAAAAATAATATATCATAAATTTGGATTGAAGAAAAAAAATTAAAAACTAATAAAATGTTTACAAAAGGGTCATGGAAAAAATTTAGAAATTAAAATAATAAAGATCACATTAGAAAAAATAATATATCACAAATCAAGATTGAATAATGAAATTAAAAATAACTAAAATTTTTACAAAAGGATTAATAACAAAAATCATAAATCAAAAGAATAAGGATTATAGTTGAAATATCAATAATAAAAATAATCAATCTATGATTCTTAAAGAAAAAGAGAGAAAATAAATAAAAAAAACCTCAATAGTAATAAACCAACTACCTCTACTAACATGTATCGTACCAATGGAAAGAGAACATGGTGAAATTTTCAGAGATACGACAAAAGAATATATATGGTTACTAAAAGAAGTTGTGTGTGGTGCTTAAAGTGTAAGGGCACGTGTTTCTTGTGCACTAATAGCTTTTTTATTTGAATAATAATTAATTCTTATTAAAAGATCAAATTCTTCCTCTTAAACTTGATAATAACAAAAAACTAGAGTGAAAAAACTGAAAGATCTTGGATGTATGGTTTATTATTTTATTTAAAGGATAATCTTATCATTTTATTATATTTAAAAAATCATACCCATATGTTAATTTTAAAATTTTAACTTATTAAATCATTTTGTTATGTTTAAAAAAATAAAAAAATATTTATATCCTTATTAATCTTTGAATGCCTGATAAATCATGTGAATAGATTGAAATATATTATTTTTTTTGAAAGGATAAAATGGTAATTATCGCAGTGGTGAATAGTATAGTGAATTTGCCTCCTCTTTTAGGTTTTTTTGGTTGAATGCGTAGCGAATGAATCAATTCGAATATGAATGATCTCTTATGAATTTGTCTCCCCTTCATCATAATCTCGTCTTAAGATACGCTCTAAGAAGAAGAGGGCATTCTTAGATGAAGTCTCCAGACTCTTCTGGATGCCATTAATTTAACCTTGCCTCAATTCTTCGTTTTCTATGGAAAATATTCCCAAAGATATCTCTCTTAAAGGTGATAGAATCCCTGCGGACTTCACATAAACCATCCATAACCGAAATGACCACTCCTGTCCCACGCTCTAGCCACAATATCGTGGTAATCTGAGTGGGAAGCCCAAGATTACCTGTCAATATGAGAGGTCTACCTCATTCAAGTATGATCAGGATGAAGACCACAGAAATTCTCCACGTCAGCTTCAGGGAAAGCTGCCTGCCAGTCAAAGTTAGCCATGGCTCTGTCCAATCTCTTCGCCAGTCAAAGTTAGTCAAGCAAATGTAAGACCCTGACACCCCGAATCCACCGAAGTTACATTCGTCCACTGTCATTTGCAGAAACCTGCAGGTAGCTCTAGCCCAGGAGAAAATTCCACCACGATTTTCAGAGGGAGAGGAGATTTCATTAATAAGTAGTCATAGGCCTTGAGCAGTATCCTTGGTCACTTTCAGATGCTCCCAAATTTGTGTTCGAAGATGGGGGATAGGGGACGCATGAACAGCTGAAAACCACCAAAAAAAGTCCCCTGAAGAAAGTACTGTAACACGGTACTGATGACAAATACAGACAATACAAGTAGAATAGTTACTACCCAGAGGCAAAATCCAAAAGCTTTAATCCACTTGCTCGAAGCGAGCATGAGTTTCTAGCAGCATAAAAAGAAAGGGTCTATACCTAAGGACCGACTCCTTACAGTGTCCTTTTCCTTTCTTGTTCACCGCCCCACGGACATTCCAAAACACAACAGATATATCTGTAAAAGGATTCATAAATAAAAACTGATAAAGACTCCAAAACCCCACGACCTCAAGAACGAATGTCCATATGAGACTCCTGACTCTCATCCACTTCATTAATATCCGCAGGAATGTCCCTTCCCGCAACCGTCATATTTCTGTCAAGCATTGTAGTCTGAATAATTCCCGGGTCATGAGGAGTATTTAGCAACTTGGTCGCTACATGTGGAGTCAAAGAAGTCATATATATCCTCAGTATAAGATGAGCCCCCAGATTGCTTCGCCCTACTTATCTCCTCTTGAGTTGGAACCCTATTCAAACTGCTTGCAGAGAACACCATTGGTTTAATACGAGAAGTCTGATCTAAAAGACAAACCTGGCTAGATACGCTATGAACAACTATTGTGGCGTTGTTAATAGGGATATACTCCTTTTAGCTTGAGTACGATTTTCCTTTACCAACGTCATGGGTTGACTTTTCGGTTTAGGCACAGCTTCTGGGCCATATCCTGTATAGATAAACTAGTTGCATCCAGTTTCTCACTAGGGCTGGACACAACGCTGCCTGCGGTTGAGCCCAAGTCCAAATCCTCTATGCTGTAATCGCTTTTCCCGTTAATTTTTCATGTAGCTCTCACACTTTTATATATATCCCCTTTCAATTTCTTCTTTCTTGTAACAAGCAAGCACTCACCATGCATCTCGTTAGGGTTACCGAAAGTAATGGGATATGATGAAGAGCCGTTACATGTTTCCTTATCCAGCCTTACCGCCGGCAGCTCCTGGTCTGCGCTTCTCGTTTCAGCCATCCCCTCAGGCAGGTCTTTCATCACCCGACAATCTTTACCTAGATGGTCGTAACACCCACATTTTCCACAGATAATATGCAGCCCCTCGTACACCACCTTGTACCAATGATCTATTACCCAGATCTTCCCTACGCAAATTCTAGCAAACCGTCCACGTTCGACATTGAGTGTATTCATATCAGGTTTGCCTATGGCCATTGCCATCAGAATATTTTCATTGTAAAAAGCCAAGTTAAGACTAGGGATTCGGATCCAGACCATAGTCTTGTTAATCTTAGCTTAAGAAGCGACAAAGTCTGTCGACCACTGGCTCACTGCTAGATAGTGATCGAATATCATCCATGGTCCTCCATTGACGACTTTTGCTCTATCCTCTTCACGATCAAACTTGGTCATAAAAAAACTGTTGCCCACATCCATCAACCAAAACTCCCAGCCAATTTCCATATATTCTTCAATCGTAGATTCATCTGGTAGATGCCAATCTCCTTACGTATCAGTTTTATATACAATCAGGGAGTCCTGCCAATGGTAGCACAATTCCTTAAAAACCAAGTCTTCTATGAAGATTTTAGGCAATAGACGATTACCATTCTCATGCTCAATTCAAACCAAATTAGTATCAATCAGGTTCATCCTGCCGCTTGCCTAGGGAGGGCTTCATCTTTGAAGGAGATTTTTCCATCAACCATATAGAAAGTAGACTCGTTATCCAGTTTTAATATGTTTTTTTTTTAAGAAAAAAATTAAAAATTTAAATTTAAATCGTTTTAATATATTAATATTAAAAAAATATTATTTTAATATTTTTATAAATAAAAAGTATTTTAAAAAACATTTTGTATTATTAAATATACTTTTTAAAGGGTGACTCCATAAAAAACAAGATAATGGAGGATAAACTAAAATGGCGGTAGAATAAAGATATACATGTTTGTCGTGAAATCAAGTTTTTTTTAAAACAATGAAAACATCATCTTTCCTGTCATCGCTCCAAATATTCTTACACCTGAGGATTGCCAAATATTTGTAGCTCCAAATATATATTCTCAGCTGCAAATTCCTTTTCTTTTCTTTTTATTTAATTAAGAGTGGAATAACTTAAGGAAAGAAAGATAAAAAAGAAAAAACAGAGAGACACACATAAAAGTCTCTTGTAGAGAGAGACAAAGCATGAGCACTTCTTCCTGTGTCTCCATTTCAACAAATCCTCTCTTTAGATCTTAGTTTCTCTCAAGTTTCCCAACTGGGTCTTCTCCAATATGGTAAATTCTCAATCTCTTACTCTTTATTACCTCCTGATCACTATCAACCATTTTCTGGGTCTTGATCCACATCAATTCATATGCTTAAATTTTCTTCTTCTGTTTTTTTGTTTTTGGATCGTCAGGCATCATGGATTGCCTTTTGATCGGTGCTGGAAGGATCAGATGGTACTAGATTGGATTTGTTAAACACCCACTTCACTTTTTTTACTGGGCACCAACCAGATTCTATCTAAATTATCGTAAAAGGTCTTCTTTTATTTGCTCTTATTCATAGATTGATCTGTTTTTTCTTTGATACACATTGATTATTTTCATTTATCATCATTGCAACTTGTGTAATTAATATTTGTTACTATGAAATAAGCTAATGACTATAAGATTCTCAACTGAATTATAGATTTTAAGTTTTGAACTACTTTTGTCTTTTGAGATATTGGTATTGGCAATTGATGAAGCAATTTGTTGTAATGTATTCTTGTAGCAAGGGATGGAATCAGATCTTGGTAAGCTCTTCATTGGTGGGATTTCATGGGACACTGATGAGGAACGTCTTAAGGAATATTTTAGCAACTATGGGGAAGTGGTTGAGGCTGTGATCATGAGAGATCGTGTTACAGGCCGTGCCCGTGGCTTTGGTTTTGTTGTCTTTGCAGATCCTATTGTTGCCGAGAGGGTCATCATGGAGAAGCACGTGGTTGATGGCCGCACAGTGAGTAGCTTGATTGCATATATCTACCATGCATCCTGAATATTTCTGGTGCCATGTTAACTTTCTTGTTTTAATTCACTTCATATTTGTTTAAATTTCCAAATCCATGAGTTAAACATATTATTTCTCCCTAGTTTAATTCTGAGTTCATACTGTGAAATTTATATCAGGAAAACAATACATTCTTATTTGACTTTATTTGCAGAACATTTTGAAATTTATTGTTTTCTTGTTTAGTACTCTGTATTAAAGAGTGGAAGAGAATGCATGATTCTAGTCTCTTACTGCTATATGAAATGTAAATCCAATTTGGTCTGAACTAGAAATTGACTGTCATTGTATGCTTGAAGCTGAGAATGAAATGTAGCTGCTAGATTTTAGATAACATATTCTCAATTTTTCAGGTTGAAGCAAAGAAGGCTGTTCCTAGGGATGATCAGCACATTTTAAGTAGAAACATTAGTAATATTCATGGTTCTCCAGGTCCTGGACGCACCAAAAAGATTTTTGTTGGAGGCCTTGCATCTACGGTTACAGAGAATGACTTCAAGAAGTACTTTGAGCAGTATGGTATTATTACTGATGTTGTAGTGATGTACGATCACAACACTCTGAGGCCAAGAGGCTTTGGCTTCATCACTTATGATTCAGAGGAAGCAGTGGACAGAGTTCTGCATAAAACATTTCATGAACTCAATGGTAAAATGGTTGAGGTCAAGAGGGCAGTCCCAAAGGAGCTATCACCAGGTCCTAGTCGGAGCCCTGTGATGGGGTATAACTATGGTTTGACTAGGGCCAACAACTTCCTTAATGCATATGCTCAGGGATATAATACGAGCTCTATTGGAGGTGTTGGAATGAGGATGGATAGTAGGTTTAATCCGCTTGCCACTGGTCGAAGTGGATATGCTCCCTTTAGCAATACTGGTTATGGGATGAGTATGAATTTAGAGCCAGGCTTGAGTCCAAGCTACAGTGGAGGTTCCAACTTTGGTAACACTCCTGCATATGGGCGGATCTCAAGTCCTTATTATAGTGGGAATCCAAGCAGGTACAACACACCAGTAGGTTATGGTGGGGGGAATGCAAGAAATGATTCTCCATTCAGCCCTACTACTTGGAATGTCTGGGGAAATGGCAGCCACAATACTGCCACACATCCTGCCAGCCCTGGTCCTTTATTGGGCTCCGAAACTGGAAATTTTGGAGTTTCATTTGGGAATAGTGGATCGAATTGGGGCACTTCTTCTGTATCAGCTCAAGGCAGAGGAAGTGCTTCTGGTTATACTACTGGCAGCATGGGTTATGGGAGTGGTGACAACAATTATGGTTTGGGTGGGGCAGGATATGTAAGAAACAGTGGCACTGGTGCACCACCAACATCATCATTCTCTGGGTCAGCAGGTGGTTATGAGGGGTCCTATGGGGACCTTTATCGCAGTGGTTCTGTTTATGGTGATTCAACTTGGCAATCTGCTACTCCTGAGCTTGATGGTCGTGGTTCATTTGGTTATGGGCTTGGTGATGTAGCTCCAGATGTTACAACTAAGAGTTCCGAGGGTTATATTGGAAGTTATGGTGTTACAAGTAGACAATCAAATAGAGGTAACCCTTTTCTTCGAACATTCTTGAAATAAGTTACGTTGTTAACAATACTTGATAGAATCATATATACATATATGCCAGCGCACGTGGGCATCTGTGTGCATGCAAGTGTCACAGATATTTATGTTGAGTGAAAAGTCCTAGGAGTAGAATGCTTACTGGAACATCAAAAGAAGTCGTTTGATGTTTGTGTGCTAATTTATTTCTTCTGCACTGACAAGTTGATAGGAAAAACTCAATTAAGTTTGCTTATAAAGTAAATGAATGTTACATCTCGTCCTCATGGTGCAATGTTATCCACTTCCCTTGAAGATATGTTCTCATCAATGTTAAAATCTGATATCATAGCTTGATTGCCCTTAACCTGCATTTCTATTGTGAATGATCTACACTGCTGCCTCTAGTTATGCGTGATATGTATATGACACGATGTAGTGGCTGTAAACTAATTTTCTACAAGTTTTAAATCTAAATGGATGTTTTCTTTAATTATTTTGACTGGCCTTTTCTTGCATATAATCCTTGAATTCATAACAATCTGCATCAATGACTTATCAGAAATTCATTTTTTATTTCCAGATTTTTAAGCAACTGGTAGTCCTATTAATATATTGTTGAATTCTCTAACGTGGGGATGCAATTGGATACACAACTGGGCAGAAGTTGGAACTTTCATAGGTCTCTCGTTATTTGCTTTTGGAGTGAAAGTGGGCATCTTTAATCATGCAATTGCCCATGAAAGTTTTTAGCTCTTTTGGTTACTGATGTTTGATAGCTAATTGCTAACATCTGGTACTGATTTACTTTTCTTTTATTTGGTACTTGCTTCAGGAATTGCTACCTAGGAGATCTCTTAATGGATGTCACATGATAATTGTAGGTGCAGGAATCTGGTTAAACAGGTGAAGAATTGTGAATTTCATCATACGTCCCCCTCTTGATTATGTTCAGATTATAAAGAAATTGATCTTGTAGAGCTAACAAGGGTTCTTGATTTGCATTATACACGTTGAGAGAGCAGCAGTGACAAGCGATTTTCTGTGAGGTTTGAGATTTGATTTGATTTTTTTCCCCTTCTTTCTAAATTAGTCAGAGGCTTAGGTTCCTTTCATGGTATTTGAGTGAGGTGTAAAATCAGATTGCGGGATATATACTCAGGAAGATTGGCTCCATAAATGTTCGTGAATCTCCTGTGGGGGCACATGTTAGCAGTTGGTAAGAAAAGGGTATTTTCTTTCATTTTTTTTCTTTTGCCTGCCAAAGGTGCTGGATGTTGTCAGTATCTTTATTTGGGATTTGTCTCTCCCAGATTGTATTTGAGGTTCTCTGCCTCTCTGCTAGTGTGAAACATTACAAGGGTTGGTCTCATACAATTCCCATAAATAAGTTACTGAATATTCTGATTCATTTTTTATTAATTGTGACAAAGCAAGTTTTACACTCACAGGCTGTTCCTTCATCTATTTTTATAGCATTAATTTGTTATTGGGGTTGCTGATATTTAGATTAGCTTGTTTCTATTTATATCAGGACTCCTATGGTTATAATTAGGTGCTGAGACTTTATATTATCTGCAAATGCTTCAGCTGTTATGGACTTAATTGTAGATCTTCTGTTGTGGCCTCTTATTATGGTTTTATGAAACTACAGCTCGGGATCGGTTCTATGCATATAATAAATAGTTCAACTAGGTCAATATATATTTTTAATTGTTTTATAATAATTTAACTCAGTTGATTAGCGCATAGATGTAGCGGCTTCAAGCATTGAAGGGCGTGAATATTTTCTACTTTGTGACAGGAGGACTTGCACGGTTTTTTCTTTGGTTTTTCTTTTTTTGTACTCCAAAAAAAAATTATAATATTCATTTACTTTTCAGTTGTAATATGGTTTTTAAATATTATTATAATTTTTTATTTGAATTCTAACACTAATTTTTTTAATTATTATATATCTAAATAATAAGATAAATAATAAATTGTTCATGAAATTCAATTCAATTACTGATTTTACTCTAAAATTTTTTAAATAGATTTTCGATATGATTTTATTACACTTGTAATTTTTTTAGCTTTAAATTACACATAAAGTTTATGAATATATTATTTTGATGTAATTTTTTTAGCTTTAAATTACACATAAACATGAATATATTATTTTGATATTTTCTATTAATTTGCTTTAACAGTTATAAAATAATTTTTTTAATGAAAAAATAATTTTAGTAAAAAATTCTTGTGTTCATAAGAGAATTTATCTTGACAGAAAAAAACTTCAAAATGAAATATTTTCAAATTTAATAACTATGCTAAAGAATTTCTTAAGATTTAAAAATATATATTGTTTTACATTTATTTTTTTTTATCTCCCAGCAATATAATATTGGCACACAAACTGCCAAACTAGTATCTTAATACATGGTTTTGCTTTACACTAATGCTTTTATATCCTCTTTGGTTGTCTCTGCTATGGTTAATCTTTTTGCTACAAAATATTTCATCTCTAATTTTTAATGCTACTTTTTATATCCCTTAGATGGTTACAAGGCCTAACCTAGAGGTCAACCCTATCATGCATCAAGTTGATTGACTTGAATCGGTAGAAGTTTTGACTTAAAAAACTCATTGGAAGAATATTTCTTCTTTTTTTAAAAAATTAATAAAAATATCTGAAAAGATGTCATTTTAATAATAATAAAAAAACTATTATTTTATTGATTTGACTTAGGCTAAACTCGTTGATAAGTTAAAAAAATTAATCCACTAGATCAAATCAAGTATGTTCCCTTATTCAAACTTGGATTAGAATAGTTAGATATATCTTACTTGGGGTTTTAAATCTCTCTTTTCATTTAATTTTTTAAGGAACAACTAAATGATATTATAATATTACTTGCATAGTTTTATAGATTGATCTAAAAAGGTGTTTTGAATAACTGGATCAATTTAGTAGGTCAATAATATACTATGTTAAAAGTTTTAAAACTTATAATTTTTAATTAATTCAAAACGCAAGTCACAGTAAAGGATAAGTTTTAATTGACAAACACAAAGCAAATTGTAACAAAAATATATTTAATTAATTCAAAATTTGATTAAAATATACAATTTAATTAAGAATTAACAAATTCATATTTTATTTATTTCTAATTCACTTATAATTTAGTTATTTCTGTCAATTTATGTTCTTTTCTAATTTATTTTACTTTCTTGAAAAAATAAAGAAATAAAAAGAGATTTAGGTAAAATGGAAAAGCAAAGAGATATTTTTAAATAAAGATTACTAAATTGAGGAGGATTAATGCATGTTAACAAGTTAGAGACTAAGTATTACTTTCGTTAAAGTATAGAGATTAAATTGTATTTGTTTGCTGAAAAATAATTTTTTTCATAAAACAGTTTCTATAAAAAGTAGACTATTTTATAATGTTTGGTGATGTTATGAGAAATGAATTGAAAAATATTTTTCAGTATTTAGTTATACTAGGAAAAGTAAGTTAGGAAATAACTTATTAATTTTTTTTCAAGTTTATCAAAAGAATAGGGACCAAAGTCTAATAGATAAAAAAGTTAAAGGGGGACGGGATTGAAAAATAAAATTCAATTCAATTAATTATTTCAAATAAAACAAATAGCAATTAAAATAAAGAGGATTAAATCTAACAGATAAAAAAGCTAAAAGAAGAAGAAAATGAAAAAAATATCAATTTCATAAATTATTTTAAATAAAAAATAGCAATAAAAAAAATAAGATTAAGTCTGATAGATAAAAATTTCAATTAATAAAAGAATAAGAGAAAAATAAAAAACAATAAAAAAAATAAAGACCAAAGTTGATATAAAATTAAATTATAAAGGATAAAATTAAAAAAAAAGATTTAAAACAAAATATATAACATTAAGAAGATTGAAGATCAAATTTGATATAATCAATAAATAAAAAACATGATATTTTTGAATTTTTCAAAACTTTTGAAAAGTGCATTTTGCTGGAAATAAAAGGAAAATATTTTCCTAAAACTAAGTTAAAATTTTCTTTAACTGGAAAATGTTTTATATTGACTGACTTTTTATAATGATAAGCGAAAATAAAAAAAGTTTGGAAAATGATTTCAAAAAAACTACTTTTCATAAAACAAATAGAGCCTAATTTATAATTAACTCATTTCTTTGTACCAAAGCCTTATAAAAACAAAAATTTATATAGCAATAATTAGTCATCGGCTTTGTTATTGCAAGGAACTTTTTGACACTATTATTGTAAACCTCAAGAAACAACAACAACAACAATAGAGATGTTTCACGGTAATATATCTTAAAAGAAAAGCAAAGAAAAGAAAGGTTAGCTTTGGGAATTAATAGAAATTATAATCAAAGTGGGGTTAAATTGTAATATTTATTTTTTTGGAAATTAAGGAAAAAATTAAAAAAGGAATAATAGATTTGAGGGGAGCCAAAATATAAATATAAAAAGTCAACCTCCTCTTTTATTTGTAAGGGAGGCCGACAATCAATCGTTAGAGAGAGGGGAGAGAATTTGAGAGAATTTCTTCAAATTTTCATGTTTTTAATTTTTATGTTTTTTCTTTGAAATTGTGAGAATATTTAGGGTTTAAGGAGTAGTATAATTAGTTTACAAAGAAGAGAAATATCAAAATTCCAAATTAAAAGGGATTGAAGAGAGGAAAAATGAGTTTAGTAAGAGAAAATAATAAAAAAAAGTGAGCTTAGTAAGAGAAAGCAAAAGAAAAAAAAGAAAATGAACAAAACATTTTGACGTGCTGCATTTCAAAGTTCAAATTATTGATTGATATGGTATTTAAAACCCAAATATACATGTTAGAATAGAATTTAATTGTTTTGGAGCAATCCAGGGAAAAAAATGAATTAGGATTTTTAGGAAAGAATTAGGAGAAAATGCAATGGTACATGAAATTGAGTTTATTAGGATATTATAGGTTGTAATGGGTGTTAAAATATAAAAACACACTAAAGAACTTATGGTGGCATGTGTCATGGGTGGCTGGTCAAAGAAAGAGGAAAATAAAAAATCTCTTTGAATTGAGTTAATGATGTAAATTGCATCTTGATAAACTCATGGTAGTATAAGATGTGATTTAATGTTGGCTTGATAATTTATTCCATAAAAGTATTAAATGCAACCTTAAGAAAAAAATAACCATAAGGAAAACAATTATAGGAATCTGATAAATCATTGATGAGATTTATTATGAATATATGTGTTATGTAATGGTGATAGTTGTGTGATTAAGATGATTGAAATGTTATTTTTGATTTAGAAAAGGTGTTATAATGTGAAATTAAAGGGAATTTTAAAAGGAAATTATGTTTTATATATATATATAAATGTACGGTTAACATTAGCAAAAATAAAGAAGAGTTTTATTGATTTTAATTTTGTGAAAGTTTTATATAAAGCATTTAATTTCATGATTTGGAATGTATCATGATGAAAAATTTTATATAATGGAAGTTAGACATGATTCCTAAATTTATGAAAAAATGATTGTAATGAGTTGGTTTTATATTAACATGGGACACCTTAGTAGTTAGATCATATGACGGAGTAAATGCATCACATATAATAAGTAGGTGCTTTACACATATATTTTGTAATTTTTGTACTACTAGAATTGTTAGATTTATTTTCTTATGTTTTTGGTATTGGCATGTAAAATCGATAAACAAGTGGAAAAGAAAATAAAAAAATAAAATGAAATGAAATTGATGGAAAAACTAATTAACTACTTATGGTATGGAGGCTAATGATATTAAAAAGTTCTTTAACACTAGCATTACCAAATGATAAGTTAAAGTATCATAAAGAATTTAATTAGATATCTTGAAATTTGAAAAGCTAATGATATTAATGGGTTACATAAATAATAATATTTAGTTAAACTTGATTAGTTGATCCTGAAAATGAAAACTAAAGATGCTAATAAGTTTTATTAGCATTGACATAACCACTAAAGATATAAAGAAAAATAGATTTGATTATTTATTTTTAGAAAATAGAGAAAGTTAATGATGTCAAGGTGGATAACTTGACATTAGCGTGCTCATTAAAGCTTTTGATTTGCTATCTAAGCAAATAGTAGCTAATGATACAGGGAACTAATGTCAGGATTTTTTTAATTAATTGTTTTTCAAGTGATGATTAATGATATCTTTGGAATTGATATTATTATAAAAAAAATTATCTAGGTTATGGATATCTAATGGTACGATGATGTTAACAAGGAAAGTTAATAAAAAAGAATAAATACATGATATGAGATATTTTATTTTCAAGTTGAAATAAAGGAAAAATAGATTTTGTAATGATTTTCAATGTATTAGTTATTTAAATGGTTATATTTGAATGTTGTAATTTTCAATACCATTTTACTCATACTAGGATTAATTTTACCTTTTCTCAGTT